TCGATCAACTGTCACGTGGTGTCTGCTGCGAGTATTCGAGCTTCCATCACACGGGACGACGTCGAGGAGATGGGCTTGTGTTTTCTCAACGCACTCCCTCCCCATGACAACCCATTGACGGACGCATCGACGGACGTATCGACGAACTCATCGACGGACGCATCGACGGACGCATCACCAAGCTTCTTGAAGCCTATGGCGACGTTTTCGAAGCCCCGCACGGAGTCGTACAGGATCGGCCAATCCGCCACGAGATCATTCTCGAGGCCGGGGCCGTACCTCTGCGGGGTTGCATTTACCGCATGAGTGAGGAAGAGTCAAGTGTGCTACGGGCACAACTCGACGACCTTCTTGAGAAAGGTTGGATTTGCCCTAGCTCTTCGCCCTACGACACTCTTGTTCTCTTCGCCCCCTGTTCTCTTCGCCCGGAAGAAGAACAAGAACTTGCGGTTGTGCATTGATTTTCGCAAGCTCAACACACAAAAAGTCGAGAACACCAGCCCTCTTCCGTGCATCGACGACCTTCTCGAACGGCTGGGCGGTGCTAAATTTTTCTCCAAGCTTGACCTCAAATCGGGATATCACCAACTCGAGATCCGGCAGGAGGACCGCTACAAGACCGCGTTTAAAATGCGATATGGGCATTTCGAATGGTTGGTTATGGCTTTTGGCCTTACGAATGCCCCGACCATGTTCCAAACAGCTATGACAACGGAGTTCCGACACATGCGGGACATATTTGTACTCGTCTACCTTGACAATATCTTGGTGTACAACCGGAGTCTGGACGACCATGTGGAGAATCTGTGAACCGTCTTGGAGCGGCTACGACAAGCCAAGTACAAAGCCAACCGTGATAAAATGTGAATTCGCGAGGCAAGACCTTGAATACTCGGGCCATTATGTGACGCCGCAAGGCATCCGCCCGCTCACGGACAAGATTGAAGCCATCCGTGTATGGCCCGAACCCACCAACACCACGGGCGTTCGCTCATTCATGGGGTTGGCAGGCTACTACCAACGCTTCATCACCGGGTACTCAAGGATCGCCGCACCATTGACGAGACTACAATCTTCAAAGGTGCCATTCGTATTCGATAACGAAGCGCGCCGATCATTCCAAGCACTCAAGACGACCACGCTCATGGCACCCGTCCTTAGCATCTACGACCCCACCTTGCCAACGAGAGTGACAACCGACGCCACGGGCTATGGCATTGGGGCAGTCTTGGAACAACACGACGACGACGACTGGCGGCCTGTGGATTACTTCGGCCACAAGGTGCCTCCCATCAACTTGATGATGCATCTCGGCTTCGTGATGGCTCTCAAGCGATGGCGACACTTCCTCCTTAGGCGTCGTAGGTTCACATGCGTCACTGATAACAACCCGTTGACCTACTACAAGACTCAAGATACGGTGAGTAGCACTATCGGGCGATGGACCAATTTGACTTCACACCGAAACATGTCGTCGGCCTCTTCAATCGCACAGTCGATGCACTCTCGCGCAGACTTGATCTTTGTGCCATGACACATCATGCCTTCGCATTCAACGAGGAACTCCAACGACATTTCATTCGGGGCTACCAGTCCGATCCGCATTACGCCACACTGTATGTGCAACTATCTTCAGATCACCCGCCGACCAGCAATTATCGCATCGTCGATGGGTACTTGCTTCTCCACTCGCAAGGAAAGGACTTACTATGCGTCCCACAAGACCGTCCCCTCCGGACTCGCCTCCTCAGCGAGTACCACGACGCGCGACTCGCCGGACACTTTGGAGTCAACCGAACGATCGCACAACTTCGGCAACAATTCCGGTGGCCCGACCTCATTACCGACGTTACTCGATATTTCGACTCTTGCGAAGTTTGCCGACAAAGCAAGCCCCGCAATCACAACTCCGACGAATTGCGCCCGCTGCCCAACCCGGGGGAATCCGACCTCTCCATTGCCATGGACGTCACCGACCCGTTTCCCCGCGACTGCCTCAGGCACGACGGCATCCTCACGGTCGTGGACCAATTTCTTCCTTGCAAGTACTACACCACGGTTGTCGAGTTTGCGCGCCTCTTGCACAACGGCTGGATTTGCAGCCACGGCGTTCCAGAAGACATCGTTAGCGACAGCGACACTCGTTTCATGTGGGATGAGTTCGGCTCGGCATCCATAAATGGACGGGCAAACAGAGCGGGCACATCAAACTACTGAAATGATGCTTCGTATGCTCACCTGTCAGGACCAGAAGGATTGGGTTGACCGCCTCCTCGACATCGAGTTCGCCTACAACACTTCGTTGCATCCGGCGATCAGCGTCCCTTCGAGTTGCACCACGGTAGCCGGAAAGGCCGTATCTTTGCTGATCTCCTCCTCCCACGGACTGTTGACATTGATGGCCCTTGCTCTCCCGCCTCCGTTCGGAAGTATCGGGACTTGTTGGCTAAAGCCCGCATAAACATGCAAAACGCTCAAGTTCGCATGTAGCAGCAAGCCAATCGGCGTCGCGTTCCATGTCCTGTCCGTGCCAGTGACCTGGTTTGGGTCTTCGCGGAAAAGTTTGTGCTCAAACAAGACATCTCACACAAGCTACGCCCCAAGTGATTTGGACCTTGGACCGTAACATCAGCCGTGGGCAATGAGCCCGATGACCCCTCATTTGTGATCGGTATTCCGCCGCATCTACCGGTCCACTCGGTTTTCCACGCCTCCAAGCTGGCAACATATACACCTGCTAAGAGCAAGTGAAACTAACTTTAGGATTAATGTTATTCTAAGAGGATTGAACGTGTGGTTCCGACACGCTCAGAACAGACGCCGTATCATGTGGTCTTTTTCCACTATTTTACGTCGCCCGGGCCGACGATCGCAAGACCCTCCGTCTATGGATGGTCATCAGGAAGTGAACCATGTCATCACGGATCGCAAGTACAGCAACAAGCCTCGACAGTACAAAGTTACCTTCAAAGCATGTGATCGTGACAACACTCGATGGATCTCACGAGCAGATTTGCAAGCATCCGCACCACTGATCTATGCTCACTACCTACGACAAAGACTAGCTAAGGAAGCTTCACGACCTGCCCCTCCCACCCGGACTTCGGTCCCTCCCTCCGATAGACAGCTCCGCCCTCGCAATTAGGCTCAGCCTTTAAGGAGGGGGGGGTGTGGCATATTGAGCACCACACGGCTGCGGGCCTGACCAGGCACGACAGGGGTTAGGTAGGGGCCCTTAAGGCCCTGTGTCGGTTCAGTTGAGGTAGAGCCCCGTTAGGCCTATGTTGTTTCAGCCTAGATAGGCCCCGCAGGTCGGTAGGCCGTGGTGCCCATTTTGGCACCAGAACCAGTATAAGAACCGGTATAGCCCTAGTAGGCGCCAACCCGTTTTCAGATCCTGTTTCAAATTCGACGATTTGAATTTGGGCACCAACTTAGGCGTCAGGGACTGGCACCGTTCGGCATTGGCAAGAGCAGACTCCCAGCCGGACCAACTATATATATAGTTGGTCCGCCTAGGAGGCGGCATTTAGTCTTCAGGCATTCAGCAGCGGCACTCTTCGGAAACGCTGCAGCAGTAGTAGGTGACGATAGGAGTAGTCTTCCAGGGCTGGGTGCTGCTAGGACCTTAGGGTAGCGCTGAGAGGGAGGAGAGTGGCGGAGGCCAGGGAGACTAAAATGGGAGCTTACCTATGACGTCATCGCTCCAGCTTCGTCTTCGATGTACTTGCAGCAAGTTGCCACCTTTCACAGGTTAGTACATGGCACCGAGAGAAAGGGAGAGAGAGAGAGATCTCCTCTTCTTCTTCTTCCTCCTGTCCACCATCTCTCCCTCACCCTCTAGCTACCTGACTTCGCAGTATCGACAGACCATGAGAGAGAGAGAGAGAGAGAGAGAGAGAGAGAGAGAGAGAGAGAGAGAGAGAGAGAGAGAGAGAGAGAGAGAGAGAGATTTGTGACTTTGGGATTTGATGACTTTTGATTCAGACTCGACATTGGGACAGAGACATTGGATGGGGGATTATTTGGGATCTATATTGAAGACTTGGTGTTGACGACATCTTCATCCTTCCTTCCTCTTCGTCTGATCCCCCTCCTCCTCATTCGTGTATGATCTGAGCCTGGAGCATTCTTCCTGTGTGTAGCGCAAGACCCCTTCACACCTTGCGATGATGATGATGTGTGTTTGGTCTGCATTGCTACATTGATTGGTCTGATCATTGGTATTTAGTCTTCCGCTGTGCTATCCTGTACTATGAGAGAGAGGTCGGTTCTTGTTCTGGTCTGCGCACCATTGCGGTATGCGACAGCCATGCTCACTATTGCAGCCAATTTCTCAAAGTTGTGGGCACTACTCTGACAGCACAGAAACGTACACTGTCTGTATCTCAGAGATAGATAGAGAGAGAGAGAGAGAGAGAGAGAGAGAGAGAGAGAGAGCGAGAGAGAGAGAGAGAGAGAGAGAGAGAGGAGACCTGACATTGGTGCGTCAGGAGCCAGGCTTCCGGAGGTGAGGTTCATTGTTTAGACCTGACTATTATTTTGACACCACTCCATGTCGTTTCTTCGTCTTCTTCTTCCATATCCTCCTTTCTGCCATCTTCCATCCTGCACTTCGGCCGTGTATGATTTCAGAGGGGAGATCACATTGTCTTATTGCTGCATCGGCAGGTCAGTCTACATGGTGCGAGTCTTCCTCTGGGTGGCATTCAATCTCCTCTTCATGTTGGTGATCTTTGCACTTTGCATTGCCTCAGATCGGCGCCGGGCATGCATCAAGTTCTGTGCAATTCATGCCATGTCTTACTGAAGGACTAACTCAGTTATAACCTTTTTCAGCTGTTGTGCGAATGGTTGGTATGATGTGGACTGTGTGGTTGTTTGGTAGAAAGGATACTTGAAAGTTGTACAGTGTGCAACTCTAACGAGTGCTCAAATATGCACTCAATGATGGTTTTCATTGTCCTCGTTTGAATTTCTTTTGTGCTCATGGCATTTAGATATGGAAAAGTGCTGCTCTACCGGACACAACCAATGCTGGAAGCACGACCTTTTGTTCTAGCAATTAACTTGCTACATCGAAGGAATAATGCTTTGGGTAAGTGCAGCTTGAAAAACATATGTAAGGGTCTGTTTGTCAGTCCACAGTGGTGTTCTCTTTCTGTTTTCTTTTTTTTTTTTTTTTTTTACTTGCTTGAAGTTGCTATGAGTTTGTTGTACAGAAGATTAGTCACATCTAAAGCAACTCTATACAGCAAAAATGGCAACACACATTGGAGCAAAGAGAATGACTTGGAAGTTGGAACACAAGGCATAACTCTTCAAACTGAAGAATATTAAGAGTTTCTATGTCATTCAGTCTTCGCTCCACTACTTAAGGCCAAAGATCCCCAACATGAAGGGAGATGACATGTGACCAATCATGGCTGACTCTATTTTTTTTTGCAACTATGAATCTTCTTTCTAGCCTCTCCAACGGATGCCAGTCTTTGATTCGTTCTAGTCATGGATCCTTTTTCTTCACTGGTGCTATGGCCACAGGCCACCAAATAAGCTTCTTCCTTTCTCAGGCCGCTTGTCTCCCTCACAGGTATGTCTTCTAGTGCTCCCTGTCCTCTGCCTTCTAGCTTATTTGCCTATGGTGGTGGCCTTGTACCTCCTCTCTTGCTGCCCTCTCAAGCCCTCTCCTCCTCTGTCCAGGAGCAGCAGGACTGGTTACTGAGATACATGATGCACCATGCCAGTGCTGAGGGCAAGCACAATGTGCTGTCAGTGGACTGGCCATCAACACGATACTGTGGCATACTGTGCAGCCACACGGGCCTTGCAGGGCCCGTCCCGGACCTCCAGCCTGTTTCCCTACAGGGAAACTTCCAGGCTCTTGCCTGGAAGCTTCCTTCTGGCAGGGCCTACAGGCCCCAGCCTGTTTCCCTACAGGGAAATTTCCAGGCTCTTGCCTGGAAGCTTCCTTCTGACAGGGCCTACAGGCCCCAGCCTG